ATATAGAGAAATTAAGATACACTCCACTGATATAATTTAAGTCATTTAAATTTGGGTAGAATGGTCTGTTCAATAGTTTTTTTTAATTATGAATTTGAGCATATTTATTCTATATTTCATTTACTTGAATTAATATGTACACATATATATGTTTCTAAATGACATATCAAATGAAAAGTTTTAACATGTTTTGCTCTTTATACAGGTAAAATCATAGCATGATGGATTCCCTGGTTTGAATATTCATTGAAATTCATTCATTTTTCTTTGCTTAATCTGCAATGCAAAGTTTCTTTCCTACATTTGCAATACAATGTGATGCTTATAGCTGATTTATCCTGCACTTTTTTATGCAAATAAAAATCTCTTGCATTGAACACTGAGCATCTACAGTATTATAGTGTTTGGGAGAAATTTGGTAGTATGCCTCTCAGCCCTCTCTCTCTGTCTCTCTTTGTGTGTGTCTGTCTCTGTGTGTATCTGTGTGTGTGTATTTGGAAGGCTACAATTTATTCACCTCTAGCTTCTAGCATTAGCTGGCATAGCAAAAACATTTATGGAGGCCCTTCTGCCCCTCCAGTCAAATATTCAGAGCTGGTCCATCTTAATACAGCACATTTCAGCTGTTTTAGTGGTTAAGTGCACCAAAAAAAGTAAAAATAAAATGGTGCAAGAAAAATAGACATAGCACAAAAAAAATCTGTACTCTAATCCTAATCAGTGTCTACTCTTGTTTCAAATACGGGACAAATAATGCTGTTTTTTTCTTCAACCTTGGATAGTATTTTATACCTGACAGAGAACTAGAAAATCAATCCAAAGTTGAGCAGTAGAGAGCCTGTTCTGATTCTATAGTCATTAAACATTTTTTTAAAAAAATGGATTTTCAGTTCATTAAGCCAGCATTGCTCAACCTCAACAACTTTAACATGTGTAGACTACAAATCCCAGAATTCCCCAATCAGCATTCTGGGACTTGATATCCACACATCTTAAAGTTCCTGAAAATGAGAAAGACTGCATTAACCAGGGTGCTGGAGAAAATAGAAAACATTCTCTCTTTTCCTAGGCTTCCTCTAAGTTCTTTTATTTTGAGCAGAAGGAAAGGCTGAGGTGATCTATTTCAAGGCAGTGATTAAGAGACGTTCATAAAGTATGGGTATGCAATAATGCAGGCCTTGTGAAAAAAATATCTTCCTATCCAGATAGCAGTGTGATAATCTGCAATATTTTCTTCCAGTTCTATTTAAAATATTTATATTTAAGTCATGTTTTAAAATACATCCATGGCTGATTAAATGCAGAGAATTTTACCTAATAATGTGAGAACAGCAAAGGATTGGATGAGATTGAATCCCATAAATGCTGTTTTCAAGAAGTCATCAGTTTTGGTTGTAGTAATCAGTGCTCAGTCATTGCAGGGTGCAAATATGGCTGCTCCTACACAGCATTTTATTGTTTATATACAGTTTTACAAGCAGCAAAAGTTCTACATGGCAATAACATTTCATTGGTTAAACTCCTAACCAATCCTTAAGAATACAGAAGCCAGAGTCACAAAACAGGGAGCAGTTGGCAATAACATCTTGTTGGTGTGAGCTAGCTGATATCAAGCAGGCAAGGTCATTGCACAAGCCTGCGTACTTTCACATCGCCATGGTGATGTGAAGGAATGAGATAGATGCAGAGAGGAGAGGCACACAGGCTTTGGAGGGGCAGTTTTCTGCACACGACCTCTATCTGGCCCCCACCTCTACATCTCACTCTTTTTTGTTTTGTTAGACGAAATATCGTCATAAGAGGGGTTAAAAGCTCTGATACATATATTGCAAAAAGAAAGGAATACATTGCATAAAACAGCATCCACCAAGATCCTAAAGTATCAATTTTCAAATCAGAGACCAAATTGTGTAAAATATTAATCTGGTGCTGGATGGTTCGTGAATTATCAGAAATATTGAAACAACACATTCCCTCAAAACTTTCACAACCCAAATGCTGACACAGAAGCAAATAATCAATTGCGGCACGATTTTGCAAAATAGCCTTTTTCAAATCTTGCAGTTCATGGTTGATTGCTGAAATAGCTGAAGAAGTAGCATTAATGTTGAGGTGAGCATGAACAGCAAGTCCTGGCACACCCACTAGATATATAGCCAATGCAACATATTCTGCTTTATTAGGTAAGGTTGTCTCAGAGTCACAAGTGCTGTCTAGCATGACCCCACATGGAGAACGGTTCGAGTGAACTTGTTGTTTGGAAAGCAAAACAGGAATCAGCCGGCTGAGGCAATACTGCGCTTCTCAAATATTAGCAGGAATATAATTAAAAGTTTCTTGACCACATGTAAAAAACCATCCTTGTGGTAGCCAAAAATGTCCAAAATGAAAGGAATCTCTTTAAAAGCTGTGCAGTTTAAAACAGGTGAGCCAATGCGATGACAGTGAGGTTTTTTACTTGAAGAAGTACAATTAACTATTTTTGCACATGTTATGTTTGCAGGGATTGCTACCATGTTATGTTTGCAGGGATTGCAAAGCAATAGCGTCAGGGGGTGGATAATAAGCAATGACCCCCCAGCTAGTTAAACTTTAACTTTATAGTTAAAGCTCCCATTGAATAAAATTCTGTTATAGTCAGTAAAGTTTTGAATTACTGCAGAAGGGTTACAAACAAGGACTAAACATGTAGAAGCCAAAAAGAGAGAACATGGATAACATCCATTTGTCATAATTGATTAGAGGCAAAACCACATAAAAGACATAAAAAGACATAAAAAAAAATTAGGCCCAGTAAGGGAGGAGTGACTGTGTATATGAGAAATAAAATTATAAATGCTTTCAGTCTTGTAGCAGCTGCTGTAAAGGGAAAAACAAAGTCATAAGATTGGGGTCAATCCTGGGTGTGATGCAAGCACCTGAAAGAGTAAAAATAAGTTGGCACACATAATGAGAGTCAGAGATTAAGTTAAAAGGCTGTTGAGAAAAGGTGTGGAAAGCTAAAATAGCAGCAGATAATTCTGAGCGTTGTGGTGAGGATTGCATTGCAGTGTAGGACACTTTCCAGATATCATCATGAGAATCCTTGTAAGCAATTGCTCCTCTCATTCACCCTTCATCTGAAAAAACAGTAGGAGCTTGTGGCAAGGGAGAAGGAGACAACAGTGGGTGAACAGGAAAGGAAAAGTCATTAAACAAGCAAGCCAAAGATCTTTAGGCAAATGATATGAAATACAGCCTATATAGTCAGTTAAAACACACTAAAGAGATAAGTTATTCTTGAAAACAAAATTGAAAATCAGATTGTGGGATAGGAAAAACAATATTAATTAAATCAGTTCCATTTCGACAGCAAGCTCATGTGCGTCCTAAGGTTATCATTTCAGCAACCACCTGGATAAAAAATAAAACATTTTGGGATGGGGTGTGGGGTAAGTCTAAAAGCCAATTAGATTGTATCTTTGGTGCTCCAATTTAATCAAATTCCATTCAGATGGAAACAAATTTCCAATAAATAGGTTAAACATTTATAAATCTAAACGAAACAATTCAGAGTCAGTTCTTTTGGTTGTTGGATATATAGGTCTAATTAAACAATTTAAACTCAACAATTTTTCCCTCAAAAAATATTGTCCAACAATTACTGTTTCCTCTTTGGAGTAAAAAATTTATAAGCCGAAACTGCAAGAGTGGGTATCAAATTTCAGATTCACTCCACCCTTCTCAGATCACAATTCTAAGCAGAGGAAAAAAAAGTTTTAAATGAACAGCTCCCCCTCCTTCTTTCTGTCTCTTGCTCTTAAAGCAACACAGCCAGCCGAAAGAAACAGGGGAAAAAAAAATCTCACCACCAAAAAATGATTTTCTCTCCTTCATATGCATTTTCCATAAATTCTTTCACATATCCTCCATGAAACTCTTCTCATGCAAACACTTACTATTACTTTCACAGCCTGGGAGAGAGTGGGTGGGGTTTGAGGGCTAACACCCACTTAGGTACCAACAAATTAATTCATTCAGTTCCATGCTAACTGTTTGAATAAACAATTCCACATACAAATATTTCATTTCATACTTTCTCCAGGCAAACCATGTATTCTTAGTAAGGCCTTTTTGTATGTTGTTATCAGAGAGGGTTTGGACCCTCTCCCAAGTCTTGGAAATAACACAGAACAACACAGACAAACATATATACACAAATACTGTTAAAACATTTATTTAAACATATGACTTGTCCTGCAAAAAGCGAGAAAAATCATGAGGTGATTCCAACCAAAAGTGGTTTTTAGGGCCCTTAATCATCTCCCATTTTTCTCACCATTCCAAGCCCAAGCATAATGTTCTGGGTGGCCACACACACATACATACATACATATACCAACACAAAAGCACCACCAGACATTGTCTGATGGGGTTAAACGTAACAGCCACATGAAGTTTCAAACCATTCCAATTGTTCAAAACATATTGCAGAGGAGTACATTTTGAGTTAATTTATGTCTTTAAATTACTCTGACGATTCCCCTTATTATCTTTTTTCTACTTCAAGATAGTTCTGCTAATATTTTTCTTGTGGGGGTGTATGATGGCTGGGAAGAAGCAAAAGAATTAGCCTCTTCAGAAGGAGCTAGAAATCCAATTAAAGATCTTTTATGAGGAATAAATTTTACTTGGTTGTAATCAGAAGGGGGGCTGGTAGTTAATTGCTGCCCTTCTGAAGCATCTGAGCCACATTTTTCCACTGCTTGACAGCACTGAATACTATTGATGTCTGTACTGGAGCCCAAGGTTCAAGATGTAAAGTATGCCCTCTCTTTTAGCCTAAGCATCCAATGCTCAGGATTCCAAGGGCAATATTTCCCTACCTCAGCTGTCAGCTTCCTTATGTCTGCCTCAGGCTCTAGCAGGAATCTGAGTTCCTGTGCCTGTACGTGTAACAGGAATATGAGTTCCTGTGGTTGCTTCTGCTGGTGCTGAGATAATTTGCGACCCATACTTACCACTGAGGGGTCCCGTAGGATGAAAGTGCATTTAGAGGTCTATTCCAGACGATGGTAAGTATGTTGGTTGTCGCTCTTCCCCGGAGGGGGTTCCCAAAGGTCCCTGTTCGGGTCGCCAACTGTAGTAATCAGTGCTCAGTCATTGCAGGGTGCAAATATGGCTGCTCCTATGCAGCGTTTTATTGTTTATATACAGTTTTACAAGCAGCAAAAGTTCTACATGGCAACAGCATTTCATTGGTTAAACACCTAACCAATCCTTAAGAATACAGAAGCCAGAGGCACAAAACAGGGAGCAGTTGACAATAACATCTTGTGGGTGTGAGCTAGCTGATATCAAGCAGGCAAGGTCATTGCACAAGCCTGCGTACTTTCACATTGCCATGGTGATGTGAAGGAATGAGATAGATGCAGAGAGGAGGGGCACACAGGCTTTGGAGGGGTAGTTTTCTGCACACAACCTCTGCCTTGCCCCCACCTTTATGCTGAAATTGATAGACTTGTTGCATTGTTCTGAAACAGAAGGTCCATAACCTGGTGGTTCTCCTGGACTCACATCTATCACTTATGCAGCAGGTGGAAGCTAAGAGATATATGAGACCAAGGTAAAGGTCAACACTCTTAAACAATCTTTAATGATGAACAGATGTCAATTGTGCTAGGAGGGCAGATGTACAGATTCATCTTGTGTACCAATTCTGCTATTCTGATATTGGCAGGCACTGCTTACAGTCACTCATATCTTGGTCACTGCAATGTCCTCTACATTGGGCTGCCTTTGAAGAGTGTCTATACTTCAAATGTTATAGAATAAAGCAGTATAAGCAATTATATGAGCTCCTAGAACAGCACGTTATACTTAGTTCCACAAACTGCACTGGTGGCCAATTTGCTTCTGGGTCTAATTTAAGGTGCTAGTGTTTAAAGCCATTCATGGCATGAATGGGACCTGCCTCTCCCTAGTTACATCAGTATGCCCCAATAGATCTGGCAGAAAATGCATGCTGCAGGTACCATCAGCTAGGGACCTATATTTGATGAGTCTCAGGAGAAGTGCCTTCTCTGCCATGGTGTCAACATTATGGAACATTATTTTCCCCAAGATTAAATTAATTCCATCCCTTTTGATATTTCAGAAGTCTTGCCAAAACCTGGGTATGTTATTAGGTCTAGGTCTCCCAGGGAACTGGGAGCGGGTTCCATTGTTGAGGTGGTTATTCTTCTCTCTTTGCCTAGGATTTGTAGAACATGCTCCTGTTAATAATATGAAGTCAAATCATATATAGTAGGCTGCATAAGTCAAAACACCACTTTATATTGTGCATTAACAGAGGGATAGAATTTGTGCATTAACAGAGAGATAGAATCAAGATCATGTGAAGTATTAATACCACTTTACAATACCTTGGTAAGGCCACACTTGGAATACTGCATCCAGTTTTGGTCACCACGATGTAAAAAAGAAGTTGAGACTCTAGAAAGAGTACAGAGAAGAGCAACAAAGATGATTAGGGGACTGGAGGCTAAAGCATATAAGGAACGGCTGCTGGAATTGGGTATGTCTAGTTTAATGAAGAGAAGGATGAGTGGTGACATGGTGGCAATGTTCCAATATCTCAGGGGCTGCCACAAAGAAGAGGAAGTCAAGCTATTTTCCAAAGCGCCTGAAGGCAGGACATGGAGCAACAGATGGAAACTAATCAAGGAGAGAAGCAATCTAGAACTAAGGAGAAACTTTTTGACAGTTAGAACAATTAACCAGTGGAACAACCTGCCTCCAAAAGCGGTGAATGCTCCAACATTGGAAGTTTTTAAGAAGAGACTGGGCAGCCATTTGTCTGAAGTGGTATAGGGTTTCCTGCCTGAGCAGGGGGTTGGACTAGATGACCTCCAAGATCCCTTCCAACTTTATTATTATTATTATTATTATTATTATTACTACTACTACTACTACTACTACTACTACTACTACTCTACTACTATACTACTACCTTGCAGGCTGTGGCATTCTGAATTGATTGGGTGATCTTAAAGGCAGATCCAGTAGAATGCCATGTTATATTATATAGGATCTCCCATCCTAAAAAGGGATGCCCAGTGCACCAATCAAAACTGGGCAAAGGTGCTCTTTCATCACATCTTAATTTCACTAAACCTGTACATTTATTCATACATTGTCTTTTGTTTTTTAAACTTCTCACCTTTCTCTTTTTGAGGATGTCTCTCCCTCCCTCCAATCACAACTTTTTGACTTGACCCTTTCCTCCTAACTGCATATTGTCAATTCATTGTTATTTGTCATGCAATGTTTCTGATTTCTCTTTACATTCCCTATCACTTTCTGCCTTATTACCTGGATCTCCTGTGCTATTCCCTCTACAGTATATTCTGTTCCTACTCTATCAACTGATCATACTCAACCATATTTTGGATGGTTCTTCTTCCTTTGTACAGACTATCCAAGAAAGATTATTGGAAATGCTCTACAACCAGGATAAAGACAGCCTTGATAAGTCTAAACAATTAACTCAAAGTAAATGAAATGAATTAAGGCAGGAATAAAATTAAAATTCTACGTTTAAACTGAAAGTATTCTGTGCACAAATATAGAAGAACAAAGTTCTTGAATGGAAGAGGGAATGGGAGAAATGACACCTTTCCCAGAGATCTTACTTAAAGATGATTCCTTCTATTATGTAAAATCAGTTGTTTTCATCACTGTTGTAGAGAGGGGAGGAAATTATGGCTAATCCAACCATCTCTATTCCCAATAGCCTTACCAATAGGAACAGAGTTCTGACATTGCTTAAAGAGACCATCTGATTAGTGGATAAAGCATGGAGTGAGGGAGTGACAGAATAGCTCTGTTTGTCTTTCTTTCATCTGTTATGGAACTATTGTAATGGCTGCTGCTAAGTGATAATTGAGGAAAATTCTAAGGCAGCTGTCACATAGCAACAGAACAACCTTTCCTCTTTGGTACCTAGTTGACAGGACCAGAGTTCACTTCCTGTGTGGATAACAGGAAGGAGGGAGGTGAAAATTCAGGGAGACTTAATCACTTCTTCATTGCTTATGGTGTGTAAGGTTTTGATTAAGGCCGAGAATGAAAAGAGTGAAAATGTAGTCATAATGGTTGAGGTGTGGTTTAACTTTCTCTTCTAATGTCTTTTCTTTCATAGAAAAGAGAGACTTGTGAACTTGCTTTGGGAGAGAGTTTGGAAATCCTCAAAGGGGCTGTGACTCACACAAAGAAACAAATGCTGGTGCTCTTCATGCATTCATTTGGACCAGTGACACAGTGAGCAACATTTGGGAAGCATTTTCTTTATTGTTTTGGAAAGTTTGGGGAGATGTTAGATACTTCAAATGTTTCTAGAGTTATAAAGGCCACAAAATTGCATATGGGAAGAAGCAACTAGTCAGTGAGCAATATTTTTTTTTCCTTTTTTGTATTTGATTTCATTTGGTGTGATAGCAGGGGAGAGTTCAAGCCCAAGACCCCCTCTTTTGTTGTGGTCCTCAGGGCATAATGCTTTCCCACTATTATTTAACACCTACGTGAGGCCAAAGAGGAAGGTCATTTGCCAGCATGGGAGGTCAGAGATCATCAGATGATAGCTCATTGCACTTCCCCACATGGATCTGGCATATAATTTGAGGATTCTCTTGGATTTGCAGTTTCTGCTTGAAGAACAAGTGGCTGTTATAGCAAAAGGAGCCTTTGCAAATGTCATGTCAGTTAAATTCTTTCTTGGACTGAGAAGCTGTTCTAATGATCACTCATGCCTTAATCAGTTCACATTTAGGCTTCTGCAATGTAGTCTAGATCAATGGTAGTCAATGTGGTCCCTACCGCCCACTAGTGGGCGTTCCAGCTTCCATGGTGGGCGGTAGGGGTTTTGTCCAATACTGAAGCACTTTCCTTTTTTTAATTTAATTGACTTTTTAAAAAAATTTCATAGCATTATTTAAAAACATTTTTATTAGGTTTTCATAAAATTCCCCGTGACAATTTAAATTTCTGAAAATATACTATTTGTATCGCTCGCGCATAAGTTTAATTCATGTTATGTAAGTGAAACTAAATGGCGCTATAGTGTGACCGCAAACAAAAGATCCTCATCTCAGAATAGCTCATGCATCTCCCCCCACACCACCCAGCTGTAACAGACAAGCAGAGCTGGTAGCCGGCGCCCCCCCCCAAACCCAATCCACAATGCGCGAGAGGCATGCACAGATGACAATACACAGTCCAGGCTCTTTTGTTTGCAGTCGCACTGGTCAGTACGCAGTTAGATTTGTGAGAGTGAGCATGTGCCTACAGCTTCAAACAAAATATTGTGAGTCCATGACTCAAAAAAAGAAATACGCTCGTGGCTATTTGGCAGAGTATCTGAAGATGGGTTTCATAGAATCTGTTGTAAATAAACAACATCCAATGTGTTTATTGTGTCATAAAACATTATCCAATGAGGCAATGAAGCCAAGTCGATTGTGAGAACATCTTTCTACAAAGCACCCAAATGATAAGGACAAGCCCATTGAATATTTTCAGGAAATATATAAAATATTTCAAAATCGTTCAACAATCGTTGCATCATTTAAGAAACAACATGCAGCAAACGAAGATGGATTAATTGCCGCTTATCACATTTCACAATTAATTGCAAAAAGTGGTAAAAGCTATAATATTGGAGAAACTATAATAATACCCTCTATAAAAGAATTTATCTCAACAGTAATGCATCAGGATATACCTGAAATTTTAAAAACGTTGCCCCTAAGCAATAGCACAGTAAAGTGATGAATTGAAGAAATGACAGTTAATGTTAAAAAAAACCTGATAAGTATTCTCCAAATTGCATTTTCCATGCAATTGGACGAGTCTACCATTGCAGATAATAATGCTTTATTGATGGTATAGGTACGTTATTTTGATGAAAACAATACATTACGAGAAGAAATGCTATTCGCAATAAATCTCATTACAGATACAAGAGGATTAACTATATTTAATACTGTGAAATCATACTTTACAAAAAATAATGTTACTTTGAATAATATTGTTGCATACGCTACTCATGGAGCACCATCAATGGTAGGTCGCTATTGTGGATTTGTTACTTATTTGAAGGAAGAAGTGCCAAATGTTTTATGTATTCATTGTGTGGTGCACAGATAACATCTTGTAGGAAAACATCTAAGTACAAGTCTCCGTTCATCATTAACTATAATAATTCCAGCCATAAACAAGATCAAATCCAATGCAAAAAATGATAGAATGTTTCGACAGCTTTGCCAGGACAAAAATGAAGATTTTATTATGTTACTTTTGCAAACAGAAGTTCAGTGGCTGTCAAAGGGTACATCTTTGGCTCATTTTGTAGCATTATATGATAGTGTCATACAATTTTTTGAAAGTAATAACGAGACCAATCTGTGTCAACAGTTAAAAACAGTAAAGAATGATGCCTTTTATTTGGCAGATATTTTCAAGAGATTTTATGATGTCAATTTGCAGCTTCAAGGAGCTAATAAAATTCTTATAGGTTGCCAAAGTATTGTGTCATTATTTATTGACAAACTTGAACTACTTCGTTATAATCTATTGAAGAGAGAATTTCATCAGTTTCCTGAATTATCATCTATAAAAGATGATGTAACTCCAGAGGATATTGACAGATTCAGTAGCCACCTCAACGAACTTAAATTGGACACGGAAAAACGATTTGAATATATTTTGAAATTGAAGGTGTATGACTGGATGAAAAATCCTTTTACCGCAAATATTGAAGAGGCTGATACAACTTGCCAAGAAGAACTGTTAGAAATTAGATATGATGAAGAAAGTAAACATAAATTCGATATTGGTGGATATGAAAACCTATGGCAAAGTAAAAAAATGCCTGTCTTATATCCAAATATGTGGAAAATGATATTCGGTTTATTGATACGTTTCCCTACCTCATATCTTGTGGAATCAGGCTTTAGTGCTGTTAATCATATTATGACCAAAGAAAGAAACCACCTGAATATTTCCAAAAGAGGAGACCTTCGTTTGTTCCTTACAAAAATTGAGCCAGATATCCAGTATTTAGTTTTGCAGCATCAGTCTCAGGGATCTCATTAATAATTTAATTAATTAAATGTAATTTCATCAGACTTCATGCTTCTATGTATGCAAAGTATAAATAAAAAGATAGATTTAACTACAATAAGTTGTTTTATAAAGATTTATTCTGCCAAACTTAGCGAAAGTCCGACATAAAGTATTTGGTAAGCAATTATTATTATATGCTTTAACTTTCTATAACTTTGCTTTATACCTTTTATAAAGTAAAGTTACTTCCCTACTTTATAAATCACCATTACTGTGGAACCGGTGGGCGGTTAGAAAATTTTACTACTAACAGAGATACAAAAGTGAGCGGTAGGTATAAAAAGGTTGACTACTCCTGGTCTAGATGGAGGTATCTGTGAGGACCATAAGTTAGAATTGGTATAAAATGTACCCGGTCAAATAATTATAATGTTACCAGTTGGCTTCCAGGTGCAGTTCAGAAATGCTGTTTACCAATTATAAAACTCTAATAGCTTGGAGATTAAATCTGAGTGATCACCTTTCTCCACTTATGTATTAGATCCTGTTTATTAGATCTGGTAGAGTTGGCATGCTCCAAATCCCACCAATCAAACAAATCTTAGACACATAATTTTTCCATAGTCATCCCTGCTTTCTGGAATAGTATTCCCTGAGAAGTGGTAGAATATAAAAAAAATGGTCTTCACAATCATATGAAAAGGACCTGAGCCTGGGGTAAAATGTAATATATGTCTTAGGTAAGGCCCTCAAACAAACATAAAGGAAGGAAATGGTGAAGCAAATTCATAATTGCATATCAAGTATATGATAGAAAAGTAATGCACCAAAATATATTAATTTAGGAGCTAATGCTTGCAAAAAACCCTGGACATTGCTCAGTAATATTTTCTTATCTTTTCCCTTTTAGCAGTATCAGAATCCTACATGCTTTATTATGAAGATCCTTAACCTTATATGTGTGCTCTTCTGCATAGCCTTTTTGTTTACTCCAGGTAAAAAAAAAATTAATTAACCAACCATAAAGAAAAATAGGTGAACCTTTAAATACTAAAGTGGTGAGCCATGTTCCTTTTCCCACTTTTTAAAGATTGGAGCAAAACCACACAGATGCAAAATAAGAATTAAGCAATTCAGTCGTTTCCCTGTTGTCCACCATTTTACTGTCTCTTTGTGTATCTCCCTCCCTCTCTACCTCCATCTTTGTGTGTGTGTGTCTCTCTCTCTCTGTGTGTGTGTGCATATTTTTGTGGTGTGTGTGAGAGAGAGAGAAAGAGAGAATTTAGCATTTATTGCAAGTCTCAACTTATTCTGACCCTAAATCTTCTTGATTAAAACCTTACACATTCAAGTTTGGGCTATTTCCTGCTGTTCTACTTTTGTTTTATGGCCTTTCCATTTTTTTTAAACCTTAACCTTATTTTCTCAGTTATCAATGTCCTTTCTTATACTCCTGCCAGTTTCACTGAGGTTCTCCCATTTTTTTCTTTTTCTTTTTTGCAGTCTTAATTATCTCATTTTTTTTCAGAACTTCTCACCTCTTTTCTCCTTCTCTCCCTTCTCACTACAGATTCACTTTAAAGACTATCAGATTACCCACAAAAGACATTTTCCAACCACATTCTTCCCAGTACTTGTGAAGTACATCCGACTTCTCACCAAATGTCCTTCTTGTACATAGAATAAACTATGGTCCAGTAATCCAAAATGTTCTTGATGATGCCATTTTTTGAGCCAACAGTTCACCCCCAGAATTCTCTGTTTTTCTTGGCTGTAAAATTCTTCTGGAAGGGATAAGGTTTTAATTCTACATTATTTTCTTCTTGATGAATATTCTCCAACTGATACTATCTGAATATACTGAGACAGCATGACAATTGGAAATGATTGGCCCAAGTCTTGGGAAAACATGATATAGATCTTGTTTCCCAATAATTATTGTTAAAAAGATTTTCTTGCTTTTTCTTAATATAGTCACTACTAACTGTTTCCTTCCAGATTTCTCATTAAATATTTAAGGAATATTTCATTTGGCCTTTCAGACTATAGTAACTTCCTTTTTTAAAATGCCCTTTCTCCTATTGCTTACTGTATTTACTTTTTCCTCATTCATTCTGTTGCATATAAGGATAAGGCTAATTCTGACCCATTTTGTTTTGTTTTTGTAGGAACTGGAAATACAATTAAAACAGAAAAAGAATGTCACGCTGCTGATGGCTATTGCAAGATGGGGGAATGTTTATATCCTAAATTTAAGCTCATTGGATTCTGTAGGAAAGTTTTTTATTGCTGCAAAAAGAATGTACAAAGGAACAATAGGTATGTTACTGTTCACCAGAACATGGAAGTGAATAGAATTTATACATACATTCTCAATATTGCAGGAACAGGCAATAATAATGATGAAGGTAATAATAATAGAAATATGTAAATCCTGCTCAAGTATACATATCTTTCTGTGACCCATATATCTGAATTTTGCTAAAAGAGAAATATATCTTTTACATTTTGACCAGAATGGTATCTATTGAAACTGGGGGGAGGGGCATATGCGAAGATAAACATTACAGTCTGTTTATTTATTTTAAAAATACAGTTGAAGAACAAGATTTTTTTTAAAAAAAAAGTATCAATTTTCATTTGCAAATTTCCACAAAACGGGGTTTTAAGAAAAGGAATGGTAGGAATGCATGGTAGATGGCAATGGGAAAACTGAACAGACAGGGTTATGAATGAAGAAAATGCCAAGGTGTAGGAGGACAGAGAAAGTGATGGGATTGAAATTAGGATAAAAAAATATATGGCTATAACTTTTTTTTTTAAAAAAAATCTAAAGTTATCCTATACAACATCTTTTTCTATGTAACTACCTCATTTTGATGCAACTTTGAGAAATGTTGATTTTGCTTTGAGAAATGTCTCACAAGAAATGTATGTATTATTTTTTGCTATGAGTATTATTCATTTTGATATATTTTATAAATTGGTTCCATTTCTTTTGCATCCATAACAATGGCTTCTTACTGGTTGGAGCAGAAGAAAGCAGTGACCTTCTTCTAGGGTTGTTTCTCATTAACCAATAACTTAAAGACATGTTATCTTTGCATACGGAAGCTATCTTTAGGTACCAGGACCAGTAACTATTGATACTTCTGTAGACAATGCTTGGCTTTGTTTCCAAGTGTAATTTCACACTAAACTTCTAATATAAGTTAAGGCAAAATATCCCCACATGGGCAAATCACTTTATCTTAATCAATATGCATGGATGTTGTCATAGTTAAACCATGACAGTGAAATTAACAGCCAGTAAGATGATTGAAGCTTTCTTATTCAATCCCATTTTACAAACCATTCATGCTAGAAAAAAAAGTATTCATACATTGGAACTATAAGAATTATTTTTTCATAAAGCCTTACTATAGGAACACACATTAAAAAAAAAAGAAATTGGAAATTTGTCAGTTGGTAGCAAAAAGCTTGCAAATATCAATGTTCCTAGTATTCACTTTACTTTACTTGAAAACTGTGTTTGTGAATCTAATCCAAGAATTTAAAATGCTGAAATCGACATGCATAAGAAAAAAGCTTAACACTTAACACGGTGTTCAGTTCTTTTTTCATGCCAAAATTATTTATTAAATTTAACAGTGTTGAAATTTACATAAGAGTCTTCATTTACAATCTTACTCAATAAACTTTAAAGTGTGATTGATAATGATAAAATCTGTGTTAAAGAACATTTGAATCTTATGAGTTTAAGGAACTGGAAGATTTGGCTTCTTTATTTGTTGGCATAAACTTTTATGTATAGTGTTCTAATGTGAAGACCAATGGATTTTTGGGGGGAATGGTATAATCTTAAAAGTAAAAGCAAGTTTAATTTTTGGCTGTCACTATAAAATTATATAGCAAATGGTATGTGTTTGGATTTAAACCATTTAGTTGGTCACAAATGAACTGAAATATGTAGATTAAATTCTGGTTAATGCTAGAATCCAGTCTTTCCCAGTCCAACATTTATCAGATTAAATAACTTTATTATTTGTTATGTCAAGATGATAGGACATGTAGTACAAGACATTTGGCCAGGACTGTGATATTATAGGACTACTGAAGATTGTATATTCAAATATATACATGATAAATAATGTAAAACGTTTTCTTAAACTTAAGATATCCAGGCTGGAGAGCTAAATGTGTAGATGATTAGATTCATCTTCCTGTATTAACCTCTGTATGAGGGGAAAATAAAAAAATCAAATAAAAGATATGCAATGAAAAATTCCTAACTGTATTCCTTTTCTGTATGCAGGATTGGCATGAATCATAAATTAATGCATGTGTGGTTGCGTAAGCGTAACAATGATATGTTTGGGAGCAACTAGCTATGTGAAAATCACTGAAGGAAGTATCATGCAGTAAAAAAATAGTAAGTCCTGCTGATAGTGAGTTGTGTGACAAGTAACAGACGTGGAAAAGTGATATATGGATGCCAGCTTGAGTAAGCATGTCATAACAATAAAATGGTGCCAAATTTTTCATATTTAAAACAATAAACTGACAAGCAGTATGTGAGGTTTACTTTCTAAAACTATTCCCTTAGTTAAGTGTCTTAACCATGGATTGTATATACTAGCCCTTCCAGCCATTGCTACCAATGTACATCACTATGATATTGCTTCACAATTGGATGGGTATCTTTATAATTTCCTAGTGTGGAAGTTTTAGATTTATTTGTGGGTTGGTTGGGTTTACAATATTGATAGAACACCTGAACTGTGAGACACCAGGAAGGATATAATAAAACAGTAGAAACATAAATAAGATAAAAAAGACAGTGAGACATTGATTCAAGGATGGAATGCTTGCAATCACTCCATTCATGTAAAAAAATATTAAAGGGGAAAAATGCTTTGGCTGTTTTGAAGAATGTAAGAAGGGGTACTATGTGTACTTCCAGGAGAAGCATATTCCAAAACATGAGGGCCACTATCAAGAAGGTCTGCCATCTGATGAAGGTATATCTTAAAGGGAAGGGACTTCCAGCAAGACCTCTTAAGAGGGTGTATGACAATTCTCCACAGCCAACTCTCTGCAGGACAACTCACCATGGCCAACTTGCCATGGGCAACTTGCTGCAGGAAAAGAGTTACACTAATATCAAAGAAATGGTGGAATAGAATCATTGAAGAAAGGATGCAAAAGGAGCATCAGAATGAAATGTGAATGACAAAAAATAAAATATTTTTATTTATTTTAAATTGAATTGTTAAATTGTCCCACAGCGAGTTTTCCTGTGGTGAGTTGGCCATGGTGAGTTGCCCTACAGCAAATTGACCACAGTGAGTTGGCCATGACAAGTCAGTCATGATGAATTGGCCACAGTAATTTGTCTGCAGCAAGTTGTCCCATTCTACTCTCAAGATATCCAAACCCAACAATGAGAATCAATTTTGGCAACACCAAAATTCCTGAAACTCTATTAGTAGCCAGAGCAGCAATCTCAAAATCAATTATCCTGCAATGGAGGAGTTACCCTGAAGCAGTTAGACCAGGAGTAGTTTCCAAAAGTTGACCCATATTGAATTGTGGAACTATGGAGTTGTAGAGGACCATAATAATCATATAGTCTAACCTTCAGCAATGTGCAAGGAAACACTTATGAATGTTGTTGCCCAGCCTCTTATTTTGTATAGGCAACAAGTGATTGCACTAGTTAGGATACAACTTACTGTTGTAGTCTGCATAGTCATTAAGTGCAGAGATAGATTTCTGTGTAATACATGGACGTCCATTTTTTAAATTAGAGAAAGTATTTAAAGATTACACTAAAATGTTCACTCTTTTGATTGTTGGTATGGAAACAGTGATTTGGTGAAAAAAAAGGGAAAGAAAGAATATTTCCCAAAGTATTCTTTGGCTATTAATTTTTTAACAAGTTTACATGGCTATGAATTTTGAATTCATGGGATCAGGGATTTATAAAACAGCAAAAGTGAAGACACTTTATAATAAACAAATCTCTTTCTCCCTCTCTCTCTCTCTCTCTTCTCTCTCTCATTTAATTTTTTAGGTTAATAGAGCTAGAATAATTCTGCATCAGGAATTATATAAAGCTTTAGGTCTCAGGATGTAAAATTCAAGTTTAAGATGCTTCACTTTTTTTTTTTACAAAATTTTGATTTTTATATTATCTCTTTCAGCAAACCTAAAATTAATGGTTGAATGATTCAGCTCTGGGTTTGAATACCAAGAAAAATAATAATTGGAACAGCAGCCACTAGATTCATTATCAGAGCATCTGTTTGTCTCCATAGCTATTTCTACTATTGTTGCTGAAGGCAACAAGTGAAAAATAAACATTGTATAAACTATAAAATATATAAATACTATAATGACCAGTGGTTTTATTGTATGTTTTTAATTTACTTTCATAATAATCACTTTCAATTTTTGAAATTGATTGGTTTATCTTTGAATTATTCTACACAGAGAAGCAAAATTGACTTCAAGGGAAGGAAATGTTTTAAAGATATAGTCCATTTGCATTTAAAAGACAAAGGCAACTCTTTTGAAGACAGCAAACTCCACATTTTAGACAGAGAAAACTGTTGGTTTGAAAGAGGGGTCAAAGAGGCCATCTATATCAAAACTGAGCAGCCCTTTCTCAATAGAGGGGGAGGGATACGACATCATCTATCTCCAGTCTACAACACAGTCCTTTCAACAGTTCCAAGAAGGCTCCACACCCATTTGTGCCAATCAGGTGACCTTGAGGATATAGATAAACCTCCTAGTGACCACTGAATTTCTAAAATAATGCATATGTCCAGTTGTCTGTAAGGAATATAAATCCTTCCATTCTCCACCATACAGTCTGAGCTGAAGAAGCTTCTTGGATGAGAAGCGAAACGTCTTCAAAGAAAAACAAGAAAGTCCAGTTGCCTTGTGAAAAAGCACCTTTGGGACAACCTATGGATGATGTATAGTCAAGTGCATATAGTCAAGACCATGGTTTTCCCAGTTGCAATATATGGATGTGAAAGTTGGACCATAAGAAAGGCTGAGCAACAAAAAGAATTGAGGCCTTTTAACTATGGTGCTGGAGAAGACTCCTGCGAGTCCCTTGGACTGTAAGGCGTTCAAACCAGTCAGTCCTAGAAGAGATCAACCCCGACTGCTCTTTAGAAGGCCAGATCCTGAAACTCAAATACTTTGGCCACCTAATGAGAAGGAAGGACTCACTGGAAAGGGCCTAATGCTGGGAAAGATTGAGGGCAATAAAAGAAGGGGACGACAGAAAATGAGGTGGCTGGATGGAGTCACTGAAGCAGTAGGCATGAGCTTAAATGGACTCCAGAAGATGGTAGAGGACAGGAAGGCTTGGAGGAACGTTGTCCATGGGATCGCGATGGGTCAGACATGACTTCGCAGTTAACAACAACAACAATGGATGACTGAGAATCTCCACAGATATAGCATGTCCCTGCTATTCATTTAAATAACTTCATGTTTCAAATGTTTTTCAACATCATTAAAAGAAAAGAAATATCAATAAAAGATAAATGACTGAAAAATGTTCAGTGGTAATACACCTTCAAAGAAAAACAAGGAAGTCCAGTTGCCTTGTGAAAAAGCAACTTTGGGACAAGCATGACCTGGATGACTGAGAGTCTCTATAGACATAGACATTTTAGATCAAGGCATAATAAGGGAAAGGAGTGTGTAACCAGCCCTTCCTCTAAGGTACTTCGATTCTGAGGTTTACTGAACCTGGGGTGAACAGCAAATTAGGTCTTTGCTGCCACCACCTTTTGTAACAAACTGATTTCTCCATTCCACACCAGCTGTTTGGGGAACCAAGAGATGACTGAAGGGGAAATCCTTATCCCACTTTGGGTCTGGCTAAATACAGAAAGGGAAAACAAAGAAAAACTTTGGGAGGCTGTACTTTTCTCAGTTAGATCAGACAGGAATCATGACCAGATGAGCTAATTATACCTCAATCAATCATCTTTGATTTAAAACAGTTCGTTTAGTGATCATTCAAAGTTACATTACAATGGGATTGAAAAAAGTGACTTATGAGTGTTTTTTACACTTATGACCATTACAGCATCCCCATGGTCCCATGACCAAAATTCAGATACTTGAGAATTGGTTCATATTTATGATGGTTACAATGTCCTGGGGTCACATTCTTTGACCTTCTGATAAGCAAAGTCAAAGGGGAGACCAGATTCACTTAACAACCTTATTACTAACTTAAAAATGTCAGTGTTTCTGTGACAAGAAAAGTCATAAAATGGGGCAAAACTCACTTAACAAATGTTTCACTTAACAACAGAAATGTTGGGCTCAGTTGTGGTTGTAAGTCAAGGACTACCAGTAGCCAAATCTCCTGCCATCTTTTTTAAAGTCTGAAAAAAAAGGTTACCTTCTGAGTTTCTTTCTTTGCCTATTATCCATCTGTGGGCTATATATTCTCTTATTTGAATGTTCCCTAAGCAGCAGCACCCTCCCTCTGTCTCCCAAGATCATTCCCATGTACCATTGCAGTAGCTCAGCCAAGGTGGGTGATAGAAGCCAGAACTGAAACAACAACAACAACTTGATTAAAGGTACCTAAGGAACATACATTTCCACACACACACATACAATGTGCTGTCTGAAGTCAGAAAGCTATGATGCAATTCTAACTAGGAAGTGCCTTTTTCTGAACTGTCATTGTGAGGAAGTACACATCTTGCTCTCTGGCCACTGGCTATGTGCCTATATTGAACAAGGAGAGAAAACAACCATTTACTCAATTACAATTACTTTGTTACATGGGGGAATATTTCCATCCCCCCAATCACCTAAACCAGCCCAAACTATTCTATGAATTGATGGTGTCATCTAGTTTGATAATGAAACATCTGCAAGAAAACAACCAAATTCAGAGAGCACTAAGGACCCCATTATTCTATTCTTTACATCCCCAATCAGCTATCAGACATCCATATTTTAATCTACTGCATTTTATAAATAGACGATTCTTGTACCTAAAACCCTTTTTGTGGTCAAAAAGATAAGTATTATGTTACCTAGTCAAGAAAAACCTACAGTGATTGAATTGGAGAATCACACTATAAGGCAAAACAGCTTCCAAGGTTAACAATTAAGTTAGAGAAGGACTTTTAGAAACTATACAAAAAGACTACTAGTTCTTTCACATTATTATAGATAAAATAATGGTGGGTGGAAGAAGTGCATAATTTCATTGCAATGGAAGAATGATTAAAGACATGAGAAGAGAACAACATTTAACAATAACAAAATGTTCTGTAGTTGATAACTAGTTCTAGGCAGCACATAAATTCTAAAGAGGTCAAGCTACATTTATATCTCTTTGTTTTATGATTTTATAGTCTAACTAATTAAAGAAAGGATGTAACAAAGAAAAAATGTTTGTAAAGTAATTATACCATCTTGATAGTTATTAATTGCAATATTTTTAAAGTTCATTGAAGTAATTGGAACTAAGTGTTTCATTCAGAAGTTCCAGTGAAAATTATGCTATATTTTGAAGCATACTCATATGGGCAAACTTTAATGAAGTCCAATAAGCAGTGTTATTCTCTATAAAGCTCAAACAGATTAAAGATGATAATAATAATAGTGATAGTCTGTGTTTCTAAGTAATAATAATAATAATGTTATTAATAATAATAATAATAGTAAAGTTGGAAGGGACCTTGGAGGTCATTTAGTCCAACCCCCTGCTCAGGCAGGAAACCCTATACCATTTCGGAAAAATGGCTGTCTAGTCTCTTCTTAAAAACTTACAGTGTTGGAGCATTCACCGCTTCTGGAGGCAGGTTATTCCACTGGTTAATTGTTCTAGCTGTCAGGAAGTTTCTCCTTAGTTCTAGGTTGCTTCTCTCCTTGCTTAGTTTCCACCCGTTGCTTCTTGTCCTGCCTTCAGGCGCCTTGGAAAATAGCTTGACACTCTCTTCTTTATGGCTGTCCCTGAGATATTGGAACACTGCTATCATGTCCCCTCTCGTCCTTCTCTTCATTAAACTAGACATACCCAATTCCAGCAACCGTTCCTTATATGTTTTAGCCTGCAGTCCCCTAATCATCTTTGTTGCGCTTCTCTGTACTCTTTCTAGAATCTCAACATCTTTTTTACATCGCGGTGACGAAAACTGGATGCAGTATTCCAAGTGCGGCCTTACCAAGGCATTGTAAAGTGATATTAATACTTCATGTGATCTTGATCCTCTCCCTCTGTTAAGGCAGTCTAGCACTGTGTTGGCCTTTTTGGCAGCTGCAGCACACTGCTGGCTCATATTTAGGTGATTGTCCACTAGGACTCTGAGGTTCCTCTCACAGTTACTACTATTGAGCTTCAAGGTCAAAGAAAGAGACTTAGGGAGGACCCACCCTAATGCAGAGGTCCATAATCTTTTGGGTATCAGGGACCAGTTCCGTGGAGAAAAGTTTTTCTGTGGATTGGAGAGTGCATGATTTTGTGTGATGCCTGCATCCCATGGATGGGGCTTTGCTTGTTTGTGTGGACTGATTGCTGGCATGCTGCAGCCCAGTACCAGTCCACAGACTGGGGATTGGGGACCCCTGCCCTAATGGATAAATTATTTAAAAGTGGTGGTGGCAAGTTGTACCTTCAGACTTGAAGGATTCTTTTAATATAAGCATACAATGAAGCAGAATTAGCTTATCTAGTCAAACTTCCTTCTGGTGTACCTGGGAGAATTGACAAATATAGCATGGAAACTTACTCACCCTTGACTCACCACCAATCATATAAGAATAACAAAAAGAGAGAGCTGGAGATTTGGATATAGGCCACAAAAACATTAGGTAAAGAATAAATATTTCTTCATAAGTTAAGTACATTCTCTGTGTTTTATTTATTTATTATTTTTATTTATCCTGTCTTTATTATTTTATAAATAATCCAAGGTAGCAAACATACTTAATACTCATTCCTCTTGTTTTTCTTACAACAACCACCTGATGAACGAGAGAGAGTGTCCCAAAGTCATCTAGCCAGCTTTCATGCCTAGGGCAAGACTAAAACTCATTCTTAGCTTGGTGCTTTAATGAGTAAACAAACTTTGTGTTAATAATAATAGTAGTAGTAGTAGTAGTAGTAGTAGTAATAGTAATAATAATATAATAATAATAATAAAAATTGGAAGGGGACCTTGGAGGTCATTAGTCCAACCCCCTTCTCAGGCAGGAAACCCTATACCATTTCAGACAAATGGCTGTCTTAATCAAATGAACAAAGACAGCGTGCAT